AGTTTCTGAAATGCTTTTAGTATCTGTATGGACTTCTGTGCTAATAATGTTTAAAATAGGGCTTTGTGTTTGCTCAGCCCAATGCATGTTGTATGTTCATTCTTGGTAAACGTCAAGTGATATTGATTTAATACACAGTCCTTTCCATGTATTGATCTACACATTACCCATTTTATCTCCGAGGCACTTTACCTTGTCTTTTAATATTCTTTTGCTGTGTAATACTGTAAAAAAATATTTTGTTTTTGCCTCCATTGCAATATTCCTTTCTACTGTATTTCTGTTTTGTAATTATCTTGGTCTTGTTCTTTTTATACCGTTTATAATGAACTTGGTTTCATCTTAATCCTGTTCTTTTTATACATTTTATAAAGTACCTTATTTCTCCTTATCTTATTCTTAAATGAGTTACTGAGCCATTTTGGTCACAGTTTTCTAGTCTTTGATTTATTACCCCTGGGATAAATCTGTTCTTTGCTTACGTTTTTGTTGATTTACACAACTTTTAGATGTGGTGGTCAGGGGATCAATACTAGTGTTAGCACTAGTACAAGTATAATTTTTAGGTTTTCTATTAGCGCACATACCAGGAAAAGACAATACTTCTAATCTTTTGTGTGAGGAAAAATTGTAGGTGGGTGGTGTGATGTGTAGTTATGAACAGTCTCTTATTTAAAGTAAAATCATATTGTTATTGTCATCACTGTGCTTATGGAGAATATTTTATAGGTCTTTTCAAGTATTCAACACTTCTAGGAACTGTACGAGTTGCTAAACTGGTTCAATTAAGTCAATAATTAGTGGAATTTGGGCAGGTAAGTACTGAGCTGTATTATGTAGACATAGCATTTCACCAGGACAAGGAAAGTACACACTTGCTCTACAACATTAATGGGAATACCGAAAATAGTGACATTTTTCCCGTAGTAGATTTTTGGTTATGCTATAAATATTTGCCTTTTATTTACTGTTTGCTTTAAGGCCCACTTGATTCAATAAGCTACATAATACTGATGTGTTTGTGCCCAGTGTGTTTTGTGCTTGTGTGTCTTATTTATATGTCTGTATTGCTTATTTTTAATATAACACTATATTTATAGTTGTTTCATGGGTTTCAATTATTGCTAAATCAAACTCCTGTAAGGATCAAGCAATACTGTCAAGAAATAAAAAGATAACAAACTGTCGGCTCTTATGGTAGGTGGCTATCCCTGATGAAATAATGTTGATTAAGGGAACATAATACAAATATATTTTAAATGTATTATGTATAGTTTCTTCATTCATGAGTATTACGTAACACTTTAGAAAATAATTCATTACAATAATTTCACTCTTTTTTTCAGATAGTTAAAAGGTGAAAAAACTCTTTTTGATCTAAACAAACAATTAAATAAACCGGCAAGCTCAAATTTCTAAAAAGAGTATTGTTTTTAGGAACTCTCTTGGGGTCGCCCAGGTGTGCAGTTTATTGGTTACATGCTAAAGTGGTCTTGCGCTGCACAGATTTCCCTAATCACTTTTTCCCCTGCTTGAGAAGCTGTGGCATACACAGGTTTCACAAAGGCACAACATGATTGTTAGTAATGAGTGGCAAAGTTCTAGAAGCCATTTACACATTTACACGAAGTGGGCATCACGGGGTGGGGTGGGGGGAGGCTTGTATGTCTTGTTTTTGAAATACACATACAGATTTGTTTCAAAACATAATTATCATTTTGCTAATGTTATAAATGATAACAGTATTTGTGTACATTTTCATGTTTCTGTGTCAAACTCTATCAGTTCTGTTGACTGATTTTGTCTTATGGAAAAGCCTAAATATTCTACCTTCAGACCAAAGCTCAGAGGTTGAAAATGACGGATAAACTAACAGCACAGCGAACGAGGCCACCAAGTCCACAGTATAACTATTTGGTGCAAAATAGCAGTACTATCTGCCTGCTGTTAGGGAGATCAGGAGACTTCTAGAATCCCACCAATAGTATTGATTACTGTTTTAAATATCTGGGTCACTTAGTCGTGTTATTTTATTGCTATTACGTGACAACTGGTGATACTCTGGGACAGAGTACCTCTGTAGTAGATTCTGGCATTGAATGTTTTTAACCCCCTGTGCACCTGTAGCTACATGGAGTGAGCTTTGCAGATCAAAAGGATGCCTATACACATGCCAGTTCCTCTGATTCAGAAGCATAGCTTTGGGGGACAGCATGAATGGTGGATGAGTGAACCGCATCTGAATACCTTGTGAGCAGTATAGCTGGTGTTATCTGGTGTGTTTATGCTAAACGTACAGTCTGTCATACATCACACTTCTCTTCTGGGATTTTGAACTTTGTTCACAGCTGGTGTTATTTTTATTCTGGGGAATCCCTTTTATAGCTGGGCGACATTTATTTGTGCAATAAAACAAAGGCTGTGAAAGAAAGCCACCAATGTATTAAATTACATTGAAGTACAAACATGGGAGTCTTGTTTTACACTGCTCTAAATGCATTTTTACAAGTCTTCTTTTTTATAATTTAGACTTTTTATTTGTAAATGATGTACAATTGATGCATTACACCACCGATCCTAAAGGAAGTGTTCAACAAGTTTAATTTGTGTTGGTACATCCAGCTTTCAAATCTTCGATGACTTACCTGTAAAAGATCAATAAAATTAGTCATAAATATAACTCTGTTCTGATATGACACATGTAAATATGAATGCGCCAAATATAAATGGGACACCCTATATAATATATAATTGGAAACCCTTTATAATTGTGCTTTACTCCTAAAGGGGATGAGGGAGACCAGTTCAGCACAGATGATCCTTCCTCACTGCTGTGCTGCACCAATTTAATTTTACGATATTTCACAATGCCCATCTGACAGTTTTACTTGCATGTTAGCCGGTTGCACTGTTCTTTTATAGCACGTCTCATCCGGGAATAATAAGTTTGAACTCATGAAACTGGGTGGATTCAAACACAAGTACTGTGAGAGCGCATGTGAAAACCACAACTCGAGCTTTGCTGGCTTTAATGCAGGGGCCACAACAATTTCCCAAAATAAACCTGCTGCACATTTGGACGCGATATGACTCACTTGTGCATATTGCAAAACTGAGAAGCCGTTACTTAATGCAGTAGAACACTCTGAGGCATAATTCCAAGGTCAAGTGTCAAGGTTTGTGAGTTCGTGTACCCAGATGTGTCTGTGCTTGTTTGGGTCAGAAATGTAAAAATATATATGTAGACTTGTGATATATTCAGCAGAACTTAAATTTTCTGTACCTGTAAGCACTGTTCAGAATGTACATTGTAATCCGTGTAATATCATTCTGTGTCATGAACTTTACCCATGTAGCTTAGAAAGCAACTTGATAAGGAACAATCAATGGGACACGCTTATTTAAATATAGGAGCAATTTGACGGTTGTTTGGCAGGTAGAAATTCCTTATATCTTTTACTGATAATGTCCCCTCTGAGTCAACTGTGGCAGTTGTTATGTTTGAGTTTCTTATTGTCATCTTTTGTGTTTTCATTTCTTTTCATTTTCCTTTGCTTTGCAAAATGCTGAAATCGTTAAGCCTGAAACTTCTGTCAAGCTGTATTTCATACCTGCATTATATTTCCCTAGATGCAGCGGTATGTAGTATCTCTTTTAACACCATTTAATCAATTGTTTGTACTTCTGCGATGGCAGGAAATTAAGACATAACACCAAGTCTCCTAGTTCTCCCCTAGACATTTAAACTACTGTAGTACTTGCATTTTATGATTTGAATGGTTTGCGTACAGAAGGCTTTAGTAGTGCAAGCATGCATTGTGGTTACACTATATAGCACTTGAATGAAATTTTTTCTATGTAAAGTGAAGACATTTGCCTATGCTCAAATCTGCCTTCTGCATGAAGACAGCTTCATGACTCTTGAGGTGAGGCCTCACATCTGTTTGGGGATTGTTGATTGAAACTCATTTCATACGTCACCCAAGCTGGACTGAAATTCCAAGGCTCTCAAGCGTGTTAGGAAAAACAAACTTCTGCTATTATACCATAACAGTTTAAAACAGCTATTCTTCTCGAACTGGTTTAGCTACAATGACATCAGTGTTTCTCTCACTAGTTCTGGTTTGAAGAGCATCTTTGTTTTCCTGCTGTAATACAATTACGTTCATCCATAATTCAAGTCTCTTGATTTAGATTTGAAGTAAGAACAAATGAGTCTTAACGAATTAGTGATAGAGTGCGTCTAGCATAATAAAGAGGGGAGGAAATTAAACGAAAAGATATTGCAGAACTTTTGCTGTTTAAAAATCTAACATTTCACAACAAAATGTTACATTTTTTGATGAACATTTTATTGCCCATTGTAAAAATTCAGAATACCGTTGATTACAACCAGTGAATGTGTAACACATGAAGTACTTGTAAGGTTAATGGACAAACCAGAAAAACATGGCACATTTCAGTAATGTTGGGAGATTATTAGCTTGGGGAAGAGTGGTTCAGAGTGTTAAATATTCGTAAACTGTCTATGAGGAAACCTGCAGAAGTATAACAGTTTAGAAAAGTGAGAATCCACTTTTCTAATAACCTCCTTTAAACAGTGAAAAAGAAATCCATATCAAATATGGATGAAGAAACCAGCGTCAAATGCTGTTTTTCAATTTGCTTTCATTTAATGTTCGGGGCGTGTTTGAAGGAAACACCCAGTGTAGATTTTGATACTTAATCAATCTTCTTTTGCAAAATAAATGAATAATTACATGTTTTGAAAGCAATCTCTCTCCCATTCATAAGTTGAATTTAAAATAACTAGTTAAAAGAGCTTAAAAACGTATTTTTCCCAGAAGAGAACTACAGTATAATGACAACAAAGAAATAAAGAATGCTTTTTTCATGTGATTGGATGCTATGTTTTTACAAGGTTTTTGGAAGGTGATATGTTTTTGCAAGATTTAATGATTTCTCGTTCTTAGTTTTTATCTTTTGCTTTCGATCTCCAGAGAGGGATTATTCCAGCCTTTGTGAAAAGCAGCCGATTGGAAGACTTCTCTTTCGACAGTTCTGTGATACCAGGCCAGAGTTGAAACGGTGCATTGAGTTCTTAGACGCTGTGGTAAGTGTTTTTCCTTTGACCTCACTGAAATGTTTCCTGTATCACATAGCTGTGTTAATAGCTTGGTAGATGGCTGGTGCTGTGTATGGCCTGGCATGTCTTGAATATAAATCTCTCCTGGGGCCACAGGCCTGGACTTTCATCATGAACCATGCCACAGAAAGGCATGGAGCGTAGGCATATTTTATTCAGCACATTCAAGCTGTACAGCGTTGGTCAGCTTTTATAAGTGTTGTTAGTAATAGTTTGAAAACTAAAAAACTCAGTCATAAAAAACACAAAACTAAAGAAACCTGTGTGGTGAAAATTAGATTTTTTGTATGTTTTTCTGTAACTGATTATTTTAATTGTTCTGTGAGGAAACCGATTTACCAAAAGATGTAGCTGATCTAAAGAATAAACAAGCTGTGTCTTGTTGCACACAGTTTATATTATCACACATAAAGAGGAAAGCTCATTTTATATTACTTATTTTTGACAGTTTATTTGGAATATTACAGTTCAAACAGCAGTTAAAACTGGCATGCAGTTGTTTTGCTAAATGTGGCTATATTTTAATGTACCGTCATCAAGGGCTCTTCAATGAAAGGACATGCTGATGGTCTTTCAGTATTCACCTCATCTATGATAAAACTTAATGATCTGAGATTTATTCACTCCAAAAGCCAATGGAGTAAGAGCATTCAGTGTTCTGCGCCCGCATTGTCTTGTGGTGAATTGTATCATATTCCCACAGTCCTCCTTGCTTTTGCTGTGTCTGGGATTGTGTTTTGTAATTTTGCCATAAATTTAATCACAAATGTTTTGATAACGTTCCGCTTTTGACCTGGGTCATTAATCAGCCTAGTTTATTGTTATTAGTAAGATCAAAATTCCAGAGAAACCCTTTATCTGTCAATGTAAAAAAACTGCTTCTTGGTTTCTCTATTCTGGTTGTATCCTATTTTTCATTTTCCCCTATGAACTGCCTCAAAATAGGAATCTTACCTGTTTTTTAAATTCACACTGCTCCAAGAGTTATTTTCCTACCTAGTGACTGCTTTGACAGTACAGAATCAGTGCCTGTGTCAAATATTGACGCATTTCTTAAAATTTTATGGAAATATAAAAATAATTTCTCAGCTGCCTTTCTTATACAATGAGACCATGGGAGTACCACATAGTATGTTGTATAAGATCTGGCTGTTGAGCATGTACTGTACCTCACTATTAATCCATTAACACAGGGCTGTGATTATTTTCAGAATGATGTTAACATGAGATTTCTGTCTTCAACAGGTGGGGTATGAAGTGACACCAGATGAGAAGCGGAGAGACTGTGGGTTGAATATTTTAGACACGTACTTTAATAATGGGGTAAATACGACTTTGCTCTTACTCTCCAAATATTTTTGATAAACCTTCTTAACCTGAAAGCATGGGTACTGAAGCACCGCTATTGCTTTGCTTTTTTGGTATGCAAACCCCAGACGATCACAATACCAAAGATGGTTCTGGGGAACTATTTCGCTTTTGTTTTACACGGTAAAGCAACAGAAGAAAGCTTAGCCCTGCAACATGCTACCAGTTAACTGTGAATTGATAAGATATTGAGGATAAACTTGATTAAATTCACAGAAATGCTGACGTTTGTCCTTCATGGAATTGTCCCAGGACACATTTATTAAACGATTAATTTGACTTGAGTACATTTCTCGAGACTAATGAAATTCTATGATTTATGTGTGTTTATCTATAGACTCTATCATGTAAAAATGAGTAATTCAGTAATGCCGCTACACAATTTGATGCACAAGGTTGTGACAGACCTGTGACATCATTTAGTTTTTTCCAAACGCCCTAACATAAATCTCTGGATTTAAAAAAAATGCTTCCTCAAGCTGGTCAGTCTGCGGTGTTTTAATAAACTGCTGATAATATAATGAGAAATGACATGGTTACTGAACTGATTTTGGAAACATGAGAAATGATTCATACCCAGGCTGTCAGAGATTAAAAGTTCAGGCCGTATTTTTGTCAGCCCTGATGTACTTTCAGCACTCAAGGGTTATCTGTAGTATAAATGAGAACCAAGCTTATTTTTTTTCTTTCTTTCCTGTATTTTTAGTCAGCAGCCCATTTACCAGAAATACCTCAGGAAGTTGTACGAGATTGCCGTGAGAAACTGGACCAGAGTCCCTGTAAAGAACTCTTTAAAGAGTGCACTAGGTAGGTTGCGCTTTTGCTGTCGAGTTCTAGGCCTCTATGTCAACCAGTTGTGGTAAAGGTGTCAAGGTTTGCTCTTCTCTCTGAGGTAGGACAAAAATAATGGGTTAGATACTAATGGATTGGTCGAAGTCATGTGTGAGCTCAGGATACAATTTAAAAGTTCTTTGCTTGTCTGTAAGAATGCATTGTAAAGGTTGGATCATGAGGCTATAGAGAAACTGAATAAGATCCCTGTCTGAAACGCTCACTTTTCTGGAAAATTTCCCTTAGAAATCCCCCCCAACCCCCCCATCACCCGACACATACACAATGCCCTCACTTCTGTTGAGATAACGGTATCCTTGGGTGCAGACGTGCATGTTTTCAGCTGTGTCAGTACTGTAGTGCAGGAAGTGTGACACGGCTTTGGCTGCATTCAGAGCTACAGAGCCGCCACTGATGCTTTATACACGTCCCAAGTTTAGACTTGCTATTTCCTTTTTCGTCACCATTGCATATGTGGGTTCACCTGCCTTGGGAGAACAGTGTACTTTCATTAACACTAGTGCATTGCAGACATTCTGTAGTGTAACTCCCTTTTGCAAGCTGTTGCAGACAGCATAAGAATATGCATGCAGCATACAGCATGCTAGGTCCAGAAAAAAAAGTCCAGGCCTGAACCAAGAAATGTCTTCCTATGCCTGCAGTCTCGGTTGTTAGGGTAGCAGAGCTGAGTCTTGGCGTTACAATTTAGGGGAAAATAAGCTGATGAACAAAAGTTCAAATATATTTTATGGCAGTCCAGAGTTACCTACATAGGTGACTCCTTTATGCAAAGCCCAATTGCAGAACTACAAAAAAGATCATTCATATCTTACATAGTGTGCTGTATAGTGCAAATCATACTGTAGTTCTTAGCAGCCACCATTATAAGAATGCATACTTATGGATAAAATATTATTTCTTCCCCACATTCCCAGTTGTTAGATTTCATTAATTCAATAGTTCTGTACTTTCTATTTCCTCAGCTTTCTGTGAAACATAGTTCTACTATTAGTGTGTATTTCTTCACATACTGTATTTGTTGGTTCCCTGTCCTTTCAGATATTCTTGTCCTGTTCAAATCTTAAAAAACAAAACATTTATTATATTTTAATACATTTACATATTTTGCTCCCATTTATTTCCTCATTTGCAAAAGCAAATCTTAATTTCATGTCTAACAAGTGCTTTCGGGTGTTAACCTTTTAGAACAGAAGACATCTTGGCCAGCTGGTTTTTTTCACTCTGTGAACTGAAACTGGTGCATCCGTTTTAGTGCTATGAAAGAGACAGAAAACAGAGTAGAGTCCTGCTGGCATCCAGTAATTGCTGTGTAGCTACAGAAGGAGCACCCTGCTAATTTGATCCCCACTGGCATTCATTACAATCCATATCACCTCACAATCTTCTGCCTATAGTCCACATAACACTGATTCCAACAGGCATTGGACACACTGTGCTGTATGTTCCTGACAGGCCAAAGAGTGTGACACATTTAGTCCTCAATTTGTAACTTCACTTCAGAATTGCTCTGCTTCCACAGAAGTGCGTTAGACTGATTTTATGAAGGTATCAAAGCTACTTGGAAGGTGACATTGTGTTGTAATCAGCAAGCTGATGGTCCAGTGCTCTATTACATTTCTGTTTCATTACTGAAACTGTCTCAGCTAGACAGTGCCTCTGCATTCAGGAGTTTGGAAGGTTGTAAATGCTGCTAAATTTATCACTGGGACTAAAAATACTTTCATTTTTTCTCTACATCTGATAAACAGAAATGGGCAGTCTACCTCGAACCTTAGTACTAAGGAATCCTGTAGTATCAAAATGCTAAAGATCTTTATTTTATTACATCAGCCAGTACAATAATACAGTATGGTTTAACAGTAGGATATCAACAGTGTTTTTTTAATTCTACACAAACTTACACAGACAGCAACAACAGCAACAGTTTCTTTTTAAGGATCCCTGAAATAACAATAATAATAATACCTTGCGATTATATAGGGCTTTTCTGGACACTTCACTCAAAGCGCTTTACAGGTAATGCGGTGGCTCCACCACCACTACCAATGTGCAGTCCCGGCCCCGCCTGCATGATGCCATGGCAGCCACAGTGCGCCAGAATGCTCACTACACATCAGCTATCAGTGGGGAGGAGAACAGAGTGATTAAGTCAATCCACAGATGGGGATTATTAATGGATGATTGGTAAAGGCCAATGGGAAACTTGGCCAAGACACTGGGGTAAAACTCCTACTATTTTCAAGAAATGCCCTGGGGTTTTTAATGACCACAAAGAGTCAGGACCTCAGTTTTACGTCTCATCCGAAGGACGGCGCCTTTTTACAGTATAGTGTCCCTGTCACTATGCTGGGTTATTAGGACCCACACAGACCGTAGGGTGAGCAGCCCCTACTGACCCCTCAAACACCTCATTCAGCAGCAACCTTAGTTTTTCCCAGGAGGTCTCCCATCCAGGTACTGACAAGGCTCACACCTGCTTAGCTTCAGTGGGTTGCCAGTTGTGAGTCACAGGGTGATATGGCTGCTGGCCGACTTGACTACAGTAATGTAAATATTGGTATGTTTAATTAGTCAAAGCTGTGCTGTTTAAAGAAGAGTAAACAAATAACACCAAAGGCTAGACAGCAGTTCTTTTCACATCTTTAACGCCACAGTGATAGTATACAATGTGCAGTATTTGTGTTGTTTTCAGTTAATCTGTTTTTCCATTGTAAACACTAAACTAGCTAGTGCCTTTTGACATACACTGAATCTAAAAACAAAAATATCACTGTTTTGTTGTTAAGGAAGGGAGCTGGGAAGTGTTCATGAAAAGCTGACTTCCTCACTTTGTCAATGAGGAGTTAAGGGCCTTAGGCTGAGCTCGACGACTGGGGTTACTGCATTTGCATATGGGATTGATAATGAAATGCTGATGCAGACAACACAGATGATGCCAGAACCAGTGTTGGTGTAATTCCTGCTTCACCTGTTGACATTTCGCTATTGGTTTTGTGCCTCTTGAATTTAATTTCCTCAAAAAGCTGGTGCAAATACTGCATTGTTTGTGCATGTGTGTGTTCCCGTTTTGGTGTTTCACTATGAAACAAAAATGGTATGCTAAAGCTTTTTTGTAACAGAGGACTAAACAGGCTTCAAATGTCGCCTTGAAATTTTGTATAACAAAAGGGCTGTTTCTTGTAGAATATAGAAGATCCATTACTGCCCTGCACAATAGTTGTTGTTAATGAGCTTTTTTTCAGGAATACTCAGAAATTATTGTTTTAGGAACCTCCATTGCGCACCATGCAGAGCTAGATCACCCTGTGAAGGCTGTGTTCAGTGTGGGTTTGCAGACTGTAAGCCTCTTTCCTGCTGGTGCATGCATCTTCATTTTTTTTAGATATAACATGTGAGACGGCATCTCTTGACATGCTCTGTTTCATCTTAGGCACCAAGCCTACTTGGTAGAGCTGTTTTCTGTACTCGCCGTCTACGAGCATCTATTTTTGCACATCTGTGAGGTCAGAAGGACAGATGGTATGACGGCAATGAGGGCAGTCAAGCATTGCAGGAGGGAAGGAATGTAGGCAAAGGTCAAAAGCCAGCCGAGGGGTGAATGCACCTGAGGCTCCCACAGTGCACTCTGTTTGACCTTGGCTTTGAACTTTCTTTTCCCCTCCCACTCGCACAACAATATCCCCAAGTCTGAAATCTAAAACCACCTTCTTCAAACGGTTTTCAGCAAAATTAGCAAAGGAGCACTGTTCTCACAATAAATTTGCAGTGTACGGTATTCCTTCTTAGTTCTGGTACACACTGTGTTGATCGGCTATTCCAGGGTTTTTTTTTGTCTGGATTATATAAGCATTCATAAATTATTTAACAAAGGCCTGTACTTAGTGTTACAACTAATCTTGGCATTTGTTTTTCCTTACATAAACATGGGCCAGTTTTCTTTTTTTTTCCCCAAGACATATCAGTAGTCTCTCTTTTGTTTACCGATTCCACGACAACAGACATTGTATACAGTAGCTCATGGAATAGTGTAGGCCTGAATATCATAGATACTGGAGTATATACTTCTTGAGCTTTCAGCGTTGCTGTGTGCTGGCAGTTTCTCGTGATTTGTGCTGACCTGGACCTTTATGAGCTCTTACACTTGTCACATCTGTGTTGCATTTTGCTGTGCCCTACAGACTGGCAGGTAGCTCAGGGACTTGTCAGGTTTGCCTGACTGCCTGTAAGATTCTCTTGTGTGGTTGTGTATCATTGGATTCAACTTGCTCTTTGTGTTTCAGATTTGCTTGGACATTGTCTCTGCAATGAATTGAATCCATTCGTCCTCACTCGTTTGTGTACATTGGACATGCTCTGCATACGTTTGCACTGAAATGATCATTGGGGAAAATGCAAGTGATACCCTGACCACATCTTGGCAGCCCTGAGCTGTTTTAATTTCACATGCAAAGCAAACACAGTGATGCAAATATAGCCCTCATTGCATGCTCCTTTCTTGTCCCACAGTTCTTCTGTTCAGCTGTCACTTCAAGCTCTGTTTTGAAACCCAATATCCCATTCTTCTTGTGAGCTGACTGTAATTTATATTGTGTCAGTTTGTTTTTTCCATTTCAACATGTTGAGTTTCTCAACAGTTTGCTTTCACTAGTCTGTTTAGCAAACCCTGAACAATTATTCATTGTATGTACTGAGGTGAAACAGTCCTTATGGTGGCTGAGTTAATTTTGCTAAGTAGACTTATTGTATGTCAGTGAAGCTCCACAGCAATTACGGTGGAGGTTTTCTTGAGAAATCCTAAAAGTTCCTTGAGGAGGATGAATATGGGTATCCCAGTAAGCCAGAACCTACTTTAATGACTACAATAAATCATTTCAGGTACTGAACTGTAATTACTCAAGGCCTCTTTTCATTTTCTATGCCAGTAGCATAAAATGCTCTTAGCAAATGTCACTGCC